AATTCATAACATGAGTTCTTAAAATAAAAAGTAGTATAATTCAAATCCACACACCCTCTCACTGAGATTTTTATTTATTTACTCACACTCAAGTGTCTGAGGCTATGTGTTCCACTCATACTTCACTGAATTAACACTACCATAGGCTTGTTCATATTCTCACTCTCCACAGTCTAATAGGTATACAAATTCAATCAAGAGGTCTTTATTAAGGTTGTAATGTGGCTTAGGTAAAAGGGAAAGAATTATCTGGTTAAGTGACTGATCAAAAATCAAATTCAAAGAGGAACTAGCATAACTGTTCAACACATAACAAACGTAAATTTCTTATTTGCTTTCTCCTCTTTTCTTCTTTCACTTACTCATATAACATGAGTTCTTTTCTTTTTTTTTTCTTTTTCGTTTCTTTACATATACACATTTCAACCTTTTTCTTTTCATTTTCTTTTCCACCACTTTTTGGCTTTTTCCTCTTTTCACCTTTTCTTCCATATACTAGAGTTTGATTTTTCTTTTTGTTTCAATCATACCTAGTTCCTCATTTAAAGTTGAAATTCAATCAGTTCAGGTGAGGATGTGTATGGAGTGGCTATTCATAACATATTGTCAATGAACAAACAGGCCTAGGCTCAAAGGCGCTTAATCTAAGAATAAACATTCAGGGTGGCTATTTGGCTATCTAGCTTTTAGAAAGAACTGTCTCTATCATTTCAACAAATATATACCACAGGCCATCTCAAGGAGAAATAAAACAAGTTCTAGAGTGATTCAAACAGTAAAGTTCACACCACAAAAATTAATTTCTGTTTAGGCTCAATAACTCACAGCTAAGGGTGTGAGACTTATTTTTCCACTCTTTATTTGATCACTTTAATTATTCTTCTCTTATTCCAGTGAACTATGATGCATGCTTGACTGACGCTCATTTATGTGTGAAAATAAAGTTTACATCATCATACTCTTATTCTCAGAAATAAGCAATCTCCCGTGAATTACTCATTTATGCATTTATATCAAGCACAATGGAATTTTTTAAAAAAATTCACCAATTATTTAGTGATTGAGGATGGGTAGAAAATTAAAACTAAATTGAAAACTTTAAAATTTAAAGTAAACTAATATGATTAAAAATCTAATTTAAACTAATACGAAATCAAAATAAAATAATATTGAGAAATCTCCCCTGAATCATTGCATTTGCATATTGGATAATTTCTGTGTAACCACGAGTTCCTTCCTTCCGATCATGTAAAGTTTGTGGTCTGATGTATCGCTTGGTACCCATTTCCAGATTTAAATATTGATGTCCTCAGCAAATAATTTAAATCTAAAAGTAATCCTTAGCGAGAAATTAGAAAAAATAGTCGTGCTCTGAAACATATCACAGATAATGAAACTACAGGTCATAATATCAACATATCCAAAAAAACAATGTCAGAATCAGTCTCAATATACACCACATATCATCATGAAAACAAAATCAAAAGAAAATAATAATAATAAAGAAAGAAAAAAAATCTAAACACTGAGATAATGGTCAATCCTCATCAATGTCAGTAGTGGGCGTAATATCATTTCTATCAGCATCCTATGGTTTCTACTCTTATGTTTACCTGTAAATTCCATCTCAAGAATATAATCATCAGTCTCAGTGCCTAAAGTTCCTTGAGCTCTTTCATTGAACTGGCTTGACAACTGACCAATCTGAGTTTCTAGATTCCAGATGAAAGCTTCTTGGTTCCTGAGTGCTGATCTAGTCTCTTGCATGAAGGCAGATGTGTCCTCTCTGAAAGTATTTACACCTTGTATGTAATCAGAAGTGGTCTTGGATAGCTGTGCAAAAGCTTTCTCCCACTCAGAAGTGTTACTTTGTTGTGAGGGGTGTGGTTGCACTAGGAGGGAAGGGTTGAGCTGATGGTTGAATTTGTAACTGAATTCTGGATGCTGATTCTGATTCTTCCACCCTTGATTGTAGTTATTTCCAAACTGGTTCCTCCCCGGATCATTCTGGTTCTTTTGATCATACCAGAGTCTGTTTACTTCAGCCGTTTCAGGTGCTCTCATTAAATCACATTCTTCTGTAGCATGAGCACTTGCACAAATTCCACACCTAACTGGAGGAGTATTGACAGAAGAGACTTGAAAGTTTGTGAACTGTTGTGTAAGGGCATCCAACTGTTGTTGTTTCTTCTTGTTTATTTGCAAAATCTTCTCATTTTGTGCCAAGAATGCATCATATCCATCAAGCTTCATAATCCAGCTCTCCTCTGTGATACTGAAGCATTATCAAATTCTTAAGAAGCTAGAGATTCCAGTAATTCCAAAGCTTCTTCTTGAGTTTTTGTTTTCAGAGATCCTCCTGATGCAGCATTTACCAAAGTTCTTGTGCTAGGTGTCATTCCTTTGAAGAAAATCCGTCCTTTCTCCCAGTCTTCAAAACCATGCTGTGGACATTTCCTGAGTAGTCCCTTGAACCTTTCCCATGCTTCGTACAAGGTTTCACTTTCTTTTTTGTTCAAAAGAAGTGATCTCTGCTTTAAGCCATGCCATCTTTGAAGCTGAGAAGAATCTGGCCTAGAACTTCATTACCAGGTCATCCCAACTGGTGATGCTTCCTTCAGGTAATGACTGCAGCCAAGCTCTTGCGTCTCCTTTAAGCGAACATGGGAAAAGTCTGAGCAAGATGGCATCACGAGAGACTCCATTCATCTTTAATGTATCACAATAAAGTAGGAAATCATCAAGATGACTGTAGGGGTCTTCTGTGCTTCCTCCGGCAAACTGGTCTTTCTGAATCAGTTGTAGTAGCATTGGCTTGAGCTCGAAGTTGTTAGCATCAACATTTGGTCTAACTATGCTTGTCGTCTGTGGAACTCGGGCAGGAATCATGTAATCTCCCAATGTCCTCGGAGCAGGTCGATCGTTATCTGCCATGGCTTCTTCTCTTGGTTCTGTCGAGCTTGAAGCTTCTTTCTCTTTCTGCCTTCTCTCTTTAGCGATTTTTCTGTTTCTTTTTGTTGTTTTCTCTATCTCCAGGTCGAATTGCAAGGAATCGGTGTCAACGGTACCTCGCATAAACCAGAAAATAGATTATAGAAATAAGAATAAAAACTGAATTTAATATAACAAAAATTAAATAACAGAAAATAAGGTCCAATCTAAAGAATCTATAGCTACAATTAATGTTGAAGTTATAATCCCTAGCAACGGCGCCAAAAACTTGTTACGCTCACGGCAAGTGCACTGGTCGTACAAGTAATATAAGTTTAAGTAAAGAATCATTCTCACGAGGATTATACTCAATCATTAATTCACTACTTCAACTTAAGTTGGACAATTGAAATTTGATTTGTAACAGGATTTGAATTCAAAATTTAAAATATTAAAACTAATTAATCGCAAGAACTAAACAAGAACTTAAAGATTTGATTAATTGACAAAAAATAAACGTAGCTAGGGCTTCGATTTCCTTCAATCTCTCGATTATGTCTGAATTCCTTCTTTAAGTTAATCGTCCTTAATATCAATCTAATCGATTCTCTCTAATGTAATTAGGGCTCAATCCCTTGTTACCCTAAATATTTACCATCTTGTAAGAACCCCAGTTCTCCGGTTATTCCACAAGAAAGTAAGCATTAAATTCAAGAATCTAAAGATTACGCAAAACCTATGTCTATCCCTAGAATCATAAGAATTACGATGAAATTATCAGATATAGATCATGCACCAAAATTTCTATTGTCATGCATTTATCTAAGATCAATATATAAGATTCAAGCTCATATAAAGCATTAAAAACAGATAATTTCATTCATGATGAAAAGGAAAATCAACATAGAGAATTGTTCAAAACATAATAAAGAAATTGAATTCCATCTAACCCTAACTACATAAAGATTTAGCCGGACATAGCAAGATCAAAAAGAAAAGATTAAGAAAGCTTCCCCTAATCCCATATTAGAAGGGTGAATTCTTTAATAATCCCAGTGCAGACTTGATTCCGATCCGTCTCCGCCGCTCACGAACATGAACTGTGCATTTCTCTGCGTTCCCTCTGCCTCCGAGTACCAAGAACTATTTTAGAATGTCAAAAAGTTTGTAATTCTCCCTCAAATTGTGTTTTTAAGGGCAAAGAATTCGTGCCCTATGTGGATACTTCAAGTGGGCCTAAGTTGGGTCTTTCGGGGCGCTTAAGCCTGAATTTGGGGGCTTAAGCTTCCTAAGGAAGTGGCTATTTGCTTATTAATTGAAATTTCTGGAGGTTTAGGGGGCTTAAGCCTCAGATTGGAGGCTTAAGCCTCCTCTTCAACAACTTGATAATCTTGATTTTTTTCCAGATAAGATCTTCAGATCTTCTAGTTTTGATCTCCATCTATCCAATCTTCATATTTGCTTCCATTTATCTTCAAATTCCTTCAAAATAGCAAATATATATTATTTAATTCATAATTCATAAAGTTCATGATTTTGTGTCAATAAACCCTAGATTTCACTTATTTAACTTGATAATTCAGCAAATTTTGAAAGGGGATTAACATATGATCGAAAAATTAAAAATAATATTCACTTTTAAAGACTTATATAAATTTGAAAGGGGATCTTCCTTCCTCTTACCATAAAATATTTATATTTATGATAACAAGTTGTGACTCTATCCTTTGGGCAGGTCTAACTCCATTGTCACACTAGACCAACAACTTTTGAATATTCATGACTTATTTTTTGTTCAATAGTAGTTTTGATCACAGCAAGAAGTCAAGAACAATTCGAGTGGATAAAATTCATTTCTTCGGTAATAAATTTCCTTTTCTATCTGTATCGTCCTGGATCATATAAGCTTTGCTTATAACCTAAGAGATGCAATATTCTCTGCCCAACATGCAAGTTTTATCTAAACTTTATTCTATATTAAGTTCCTATAATATTGTTTCTTTGTATCAGCTGCCATCTACCTCATTGTCACAAGTCACAGCTCTTTTAAATCAAAGCAAAATAAAAACATGGGCCAATCTCTGAAGAAATTAGCTCCTGGTGCCATATCCAACTCTCTCATCATGTTCTTCAATTTTAGAAAACGATTGTGGCATATGATATTAATATTTCTCATGCATTTAGCTCTTGATTACGATTTTAAATTTAATTATTGAAATGCATATATATAGTAAAAGCAGACTTAGTTTCCTTACAGATTAAACAACAAGTACATTAATAATTATAATTTCTAGTAACAGATTAATCTTTTGTTCTGCTTTTTCTTGTTTTGTCTCATGTAGTTTTACTGTTTTCTGGTATGAAGAGTTATGGTTCTTACATCAGTTTTAATTTCAAGTTCCTAACAAAAATTGTTCTCTTTTTTTATTCTTTTTCTGAAAATTTGAGCCAGGAAATGAGGAAAAGAAGGTTGAAGAACTTGGTCGAATAATAAATGATTTCTATGAAAAAAATTTCGAAGACCCTTCAGTGGACTTCTCAAAATTCTACCGAGGAGTATGCGAGATAGTCGAGTACTTACAATTTTCATATTAAAAACTTGCTAAATTAATTAATAAGTTAGCATACTTAGAATATCACAAAATTTCATTGTGGTGCTTTTGTCAGGGAACTCAATCAGAGGTTGGGAAACACACAGTTCAAACTCCCTAAGACCGAGAACGTCGAGGAGGCATACAGAGTAGGTGCATATTTTTTTTTCTCATTCTCATAGATATGAATGGTTGATGATTCACCCAAATTCCTCCTTTAATAGTGGTTTTGTTAATATGAATCATTTGATCATTTTAGCAAATATACTATTAAAGTTTAGGTTCTGTATTTGGAATATAAAATCATTAACGTAACTTCACTCAACAGCTTAAGCTTTTGTAAAGGTAGGTGGGAATGTGTATTGTTCACCCTTCAAGTCCAGTGGACTCTCGTATGAAGGGACGTGTTGAGATATATAAAACCATTAATATAACCTCACCCAACAGCTTAAACTTTTGGTTGAATCTTTACGGTATGTATGATTAAGGGTTGATTGATTTTTGAATGGGATATGTAGGAGCATCATCAAGGGAAAGGAAAACTGACAAAACAAGAGTTTCAGGAGATCATGAAAGAGATGGTGAAGAAATCAGGATTAACTGGTATGGGAGCTAAGGATGCACTCTTATACATCTTTGGTGTTCCAGTGACTGCTCTATTTGTGAAGCAGAAAGTGATGCCCCAAGCAATTCCTAATGAATTTTTCATTCCAGGCATCACTTCTCTCACTGTTCTCATCCTTGCTGCTCTTAACAAGATATGATATGTTATGACCAACTCAGAATGTGTTGGTTGTGGCCTTCAGGCCAGCAATCTGACATTACTTTACATATATATATATATATATATAGTCAAGTTGTATGTACTTGAATTAGCGGTTCCATAGGTGAAAGTGATTTGTTTTTTTTTTTTATTAACGAGTCATACGTGAATAACATAATATTTGCTTTGTTTGAGCAAAAGAATTGGAAAAAAAAATTTATATAAGAATTTTATTTTTTATGTTTGAATTGAGTTGTACCCCCTGATTTTTTACTGATAAACGTCATTTAGTACTTTATTTTTTGATAAAATAATATCTGTATTTTGTACTGAAATTAAGAGTATAAATGTTATATAAAATGTTATATGCATATTAATATTGTTCAGATATGTCAAATTACAGATCAATCCATTATATAGGGTATACAAACACTCTATAATACAAAATTACAAATTTTCATAAATAAAAATATTCAAAATGTATATATTTTGAATAATAATTCTGTCTCTGACGAAAGCAACAAATAAAAGCACACACTTAAAAAAAATTCAGAAAAAATATAGTGTTTGCCATTATTTAATATGAATTTTTTTTCATAATTTTAATCAAACAAAATAAACAAGTCATGTTGAATTCACGATATTTTGTAATAAATCAAAATTAATATAAGTTTATTTCTACTATCACATAGATATTGATCGATCCAAGAAAAGTTATTGAACCTAACCACATACATTGAATTTGATCCAATATAGAACTTGATCCAATATAGAACTTAATCAAATATAGTACTTGAAGGATGATTGCGACGGGAACAATTGGGCTACTACGCGGGATGAGTTTGCAGGATGATTGGATTGGTATTGGATAGACCTGCTTTCCTGGAACATATGGGGGTTACTACAAGGGACTCTAACATTGAAGTCGATGTTTGAGTGATGAGTTTAAGCAAATTGAAAAAAGATGATCATACATGGATTTTGAGCCTCTCTTTTATAGTAGTCCACATGACTTTAGGTGACACAGCCCAGACTCCTTCAGGAGGCAGTAATGGAAATTTTTTCGCAATGGATAAAAGTCTGACGGAGCAATGCTGCGTGAAGGTAGAAAGTGCCTTAATATGGTACCATGAGGGGGGGTTATATGAGGAAATTAAGAGCACTCATAGCTATAATTAAAAAGAACAATTTAAATTTAAACGGAAATACATAACAATTAATCTATTAAAATTATAACACATACACACCAAAAAAACTAACAAAAGTAACTACTCCTAATATTTAAAATATGATGGGCTTTAGGTCGTCCAACTGGTACTTTTGCTAAATAACATGTATTTTCATTGATGGATTATGGTGACTTTGTCAATTTATCCCGTATGTGGGATATATCTCTAGTAAGTTATTATGCATAGGTTTAGTTATTAAGGAAGCTTATGAATCTTGTGCTGCTGTTGGTCGAGTTGTATATTTATGGGATCGCGTGTACCCATAAATTTTCTTAGAGACTAAATCTTGGTTTTTGGGCCTCTTAAGCTATTGTTAGGCTAAACCCTTCATCCCACTTAGCATAGGTTGATACTAGATATCAATACTGAATAATGATTATGATCACATAAAATTCATACAATCAATTCATTTCCTTGACATCTTTCTTTCTTCTTTATCAATTATTGTTAATCTTGGGCCTGCTGTAATAATTTACTATAACATTACTTTAAGTATAGTTTAAGCTCAAAACCACAGCAAGAGCATCCTCTTGCCTGTGATTCTGGAATCCTTAAATAACTAATGCAATTCTCCGAACCTATGTCGAGGAATATAGTCCAAGGTCGCTAACTATATATATATATATATATACATGAACTAATTGAGCCATGTGAATTGGTCAATGGGTTGAATGTTACCATACTGATTTTTTTACATACGATTGAGGGAGTTGAATGCACCGGCTGGAGAATTAGTTTTGCACTGGGGATTAGTCTCATCGTCTCTCTGCTGATAATTAATTGTTTAAACGCATCTCTGTTGTTTCAATAAGGAGCTAGTTATAAGATATTTTAAGTGCAAGATGGCTGAAGATAGTTGAATAGAGATACCTATAAGAAAAGAAAAGAAAATCCAAGTAATTCCTTATTCGTATATCAAATCTATGAATTAACTACTAATGGTTTAACAGTGATTACGCACATTAAACAAACACAAAATGGGAAATTGGTTAAACAGCCTAAGAATAGCAAAAAAGAAACACCTTGATTTTAGCACTTGTCCCCATATGTCATGGTTCTTAGAGGTTGTAGGAGATGAAAGAACCCCTCTCTTTCAATCGCAAAAAACAATTCAAACTTGGGGCATGAACTTTTCAAGGTTTCATTGAAGAATATTACAACGCACCTTCATTAATTAACTAAGGTAACATGGTACACGAATTAAGGACATGTCCTCTAGCTTACTTTCCAAGTGACAGCTGTCAACATTTTCACACACTTTGACGGACATTGTGCATCTCCTGTAACATCAACATGTCTCCGGACTTTTTGGAAACATGAGAAATCAAAAAGCTTACAACAACATCAAAGTTGGTTTCCCCGTCCTTGCATGTTACTGTGTTGATACACAAACAATATTGTTGGTTAATTTGACGATATTAAAGTTTATCCTTTTCCGTTTAAGGATGCATACAATCATTCTTTGAATTCATTTCTACATTTGGGGTGTCCATGATTTGTCTTATAAAGCTTAAACATTAAAGAAGATGGGTTTCCAAATGTGAATAGTGTAAAGAGTGAAGAAGAAGGAAAAGAAACAGCATAGAAAAAGAAAAGAATAGAAAGCACAATGATAGGTAAAGAAGGGGGTGTTTTGAAGGCATGGGAGGCCACGGTGAGGAAGACACACGCAGTTGCCAAGAAGCGTGCCAACAGCATATTTGGGATATCTCTGGCACATGCAGACGAAGAAGATAACAATAGCATTGATGATGATAACGAAGAAAATGGAAGCGAGGTATTTGAACTATACAGTGAAGAGAAGGTTCTCCCCAACGGGGATTACTATACGGGCCAATGGGCAAATAACTTCCCACATGGAGAGGGGAAATACCTGTGGACCGATGGGTGCATGTACGTTGGAGAATGGTTCAAAGGAAAAAATAAGGGAAAGGGTAGGTTCAGTTGGCCTTCTGGGGCTACTTATGAAGGGGAGTTCAAGAGTGGTTTCATGGATGGCACGGGCACGTATATAAGTTGTAATGGTGAGACTTATAAGGGACAATGGTCCATGAATTTGAAACATGGTCATGGTTTGAAGAGTTATGCCAATGGGGATTGGTATGAAGGTGAGTGGAGGAGGGATTTGCAGGATGGGCAGGGGAGATATCAGTGGAAGGATGAGAGTCATTATGAAGGGGAATGGAGCAATGGGACTATTTGGGGTATAGGGTCATTTGTTTGGGCTAATGGGAAAAGGTATGATGGGTTTTGGGAAGATGGTTTGCCTAAAGGAAATGGAACTTTCAAATGGCCTGATGGAAGTTCTTATGCGGGGAATTGGAGTAAGGATGAAAAATATCAGAATGGAACATACTATCCATCTGAGTCATCTGAGGAGGGTAATCTTGAGTGGGATCCTCAAGAATTGTATAATGAGTTGAGTGGATATTCGGTTTGTCCTGGAGAGAAGGTTCTGGTTTTGCCATCACAGAAGAAACTTGCAGTTTGGAGGTCTACAAAGGGAGGGGATAGTGCTAAGTCTAGGAGAATGTCAGTGGATGGAAGGGTGAGCATAGGTGTGGAGAAGCCAAGTGATAGAATGCATTTATGGGATGGTGGGGAGGGTGATACTAGTAGTGCTAGAACTCCAACTCTTGGGAGTGACCTGGATGAAGATTTGATGGGTTTGCGTATAGATGATGCTGAAAGCTTGACTCAACTCCAACCTCTGAAAGCACCAAAGAAATCAAAGAGGCAGGGAGAGACCATATGCAAAGGGCACAAAAATTATGAGCTCATGCTCAATTTGCAGCTCGGAATCAGGTATGTTATTTTTATTTTATTTTTAACTTTCTTAAATTTTCCAACCTGTTAGAAATCTAGTTTTTAAGCTTCTTTCAATGTTATTTGTGCGAATTAATTGCGCTAGTTATGTTACTTTCTATATTATGTACGTACAATTTCACGGGTAATATGGACAGTTTTTTTTTTCCTGATAATTTTAGGCTCTCTGATTGCATTCTTTTTACTCTTGCCTGGTCTATAATATTTGTCATTTTACAATTTGTTGGACTTGTTAGGCATTCTGTTGCAAGACCTGCTCCCACAGCATCACTTGATCTTAAGCCTTCAGCTTTTGATCCCAAGGAGAAAGTGTGGACAAGATTTCCACCCGAAGGATCCAAATATACTCCACCACATCCATCATGTGACTTTAAGTGGAAGGACTATTGCCCGGTAGTTTTCAGGTCAGCCATATTAATACTTAATCTGTTGTTGCTGCTAGTTATTTGAGCATATTATACAATTCTTCCATGAACACAGTCCTTTTGGCATTAAACTAGTTGAATAAGATTAAGTGATAGAGAGTTCGTAAGCATTTTCCTCAACTTATACTTCACACTCTTCTCCTCAGGGCTCTAAGGAAGCTATTCCATGTGGATCCAGCCGATTACATGTTATCCATATGTGGGAATGATGCTCTTCGTGAACTTTGCTCTCCAGGAAAAAGTGGCAGCTTCTTTTACTTGACCAATGACGACCGTTACATGATTAAGACAATGAAAAAAGCTGAAGTGAAAGTGAGTGTTTCACGATTATCTTGCCACATTTGACATATCTTAGAAATCAAGGCATTTTTTTTTTCTTTCTAATTTGGCATTGCTAAATTTTTGTTGCAGGCTCTCTTGAGAATGCTTCCAGCCTATTACGATCATTTTAGAAACTATGAAAATACACTATTGACAAAGTATTATGGCCTGCATTGTGTAAAGTTAACTGGAGCTATTCAGAAGAAGGTACATTTCCTATTGTGAGTGTCAAGCCACGAAATCCCATCTAATAGAAATTGGGATTAATGTTTCTGGAAATAATTTTATTTCCTACACACACATAAAAGTATGTGAGGTCCATATTATCTTTTTCTCTCTTTTCTTTTCATATGGTCCCACATGAGTCTCATACACTTTTATGTGTATGTAGTAGATAAAATTATTTCCTACACGAGAAACGCTAATCGCATAGAAATTTATATGAAATAATGAGGCCTCATTTTCCTTAAAACTTTAGAGTGTTTGACATTAACTATTGTTTATTCTTATAATATAAAAATTTGCATGTGTTTTATAATTTGAGTATAATAAGTTTGTTTGGTTTTCCAGGTTCGATTTATCATAATGGGCAACCTCTTCTGTTCTGAGTATTCCACCCATAGACGCTATGATTTGAAGGGTTCTTCACTTGGCCGCATAACAGATAAGCCTGAGACAGAAATTAGTGAAACCACTATCCTTAAAGATCTTGATCTTAATTTCATATTTCGACTGCAAGGATCTTTGTTTCAAGAGTTTTGCAGGTGATAAAGGATTTTGGTACCTTAATTTGTAATTTTGTATTCAAAAACTAACCGAATATTGTTGAGATATATAAAACCATTAATATAACCTCACTCAATAGCTCAAGCTTTTGGGTTGAATTGGTTCTTTACATGGCATCAGAGCCTCGGTATACCGGGTTCGATTCTCACCGCCCCCATTTTTTTTATAGTGGAATTTCTTTCTTCGCACAGGTAGGTGAGTTTGTGCATTGTCCACCCTTCAAGTCCAGTGAGCTCTCGTGTGAGGGGGCGTGTTGAGATATATAAATCCATTAATATAGCCTCATCCAATAGCTTAAGCTTTTGGGTTGAATTGGTTCTTTACAAATATGTTTTGCAGTTTTGATATATTGTCTTATGTTAAATTAAACTAAGCTTGTCAACCATATATTTGTTTTGCAGTCAAATTGATATGGACTGTGAGCTTCTGGAACAAGAGGGAATTATGGACTATAGTCTGCTGGTGGGAATTCATTTCAAAGATATATCGCCAGATGGGGATCTTATACCTTCAGTATCTCGGACTCCTGCTGGTAATTTTCTTATCCTATATGAAGTAGTCTACAACCTCAATGTTTTTATATATGTGTGTGTCTGTGCCTACTTGTTTTGACAACCCATTATTAAGAACCTCATTACTTTCCAATCTCAGATGAGTCAGAGAATGAAGGAACTCCAGATATTTCAGGGGAAGACACGGATCAAGATCCTTCCAGGTGAAATTTTTGTTTAAAGTTGTTTTTATCATATATGAAGTGTACTATTAGATATGCACAAAATTATGTTACTTTAAAAGAAGCACAGATACCATAATGAACAAAACTATTGGTTAAGGTAGCTTACAATGTTAAGTGCTTACTGTGATCTATCCTTCTTGCCAGTTAATATTTCTAACTTCTACCATCTTTATCTTAGCATTTCCCTTTCTAATTAAGTCAATCATCTTTCCCTTAATATGGTTGTCTCTATCTATTTGGGTATCTGCAGTGTCATATTGGGTAAGAATATGTCAGCAAGGGTTGAAAGGACAGTGAGAAGAAGAAGTGATGGCGAATTACAACTTGTGGGAGAACCCATTGGAGAGTTCTATGGTGTTATATTGACTTTTGGTATCATAGACATACTTCAAGACTATGACATCAGCAAGAAGCTTGAGCATGCTTACAAGTCCTTTCAATATGACCCTACCTCAATATCAGCTGTTGATCCTATACAATACTCAAGGCGTTTTCGTGATTTCATACTTAGAGTATTTACTGAAGACTCTTCTTGATTTGCATTTTCTTATATGGATATGGCATGGTTACAACCCAATGCAAAATAGCAGTGTGTTGGGTTGCTCCAAGTTACACCCCCCCTAGCCTGCATTGGTACACTTTGAAATTTTCACTGTTGAGAAGGCCAACTGTGGTTCCACAATTGAGATCCGCATGACTTTGGGTACTAAGTCAATCCTTTTGTCTATTATACATTCTTAATTACCTTCATTCTTTGTATATTAAAATATATGTAGTATAAGTGAACACATCATGGAGAACGCTGAAAGCAAGAGCAACTATGTATATGCATCTGATATACATTTGCTATCCGTTATGAGTTATTCTTTTTTAAGAGATGGGGAGGGGTAACAGGAAATTCCAACATTTTGTATCAGATTGAGATGTATATATAGGTAATGGAAATGGATCAATGTACCCCCCACACACACTTCTCTCCTTGTCCTGTTGCCATCAGTTACTGAATATAATAAATACTATTTGTTATTAGGTTCACACTTTCAAGATCCTAATTTGAGTAAGAGGTCGGTAATGTAAAGGTTCCTATTTCTGCAGTTACTGCAAGTAAGTTTATCTGCAATAAATCTAATACAATATCGTTTTGGGACAGAAATTATGGTGTTTTTGTAATTTTAATTTATGTCAGGGTTATTATAGTCTTTATAATTATAACTTTCTAATTTTTCATTTCTAAAACGGCGTCGTTTTAGAAGTAAATGCAGATAATTTATCTGCATTAACTGTAAAAATATTTTTCTGATAATTTAATTAAGAAATCAGATTTTCCGATAACATATTTACTGAGTTAATATCAAATACATGAAAATACCAGAGAGACTTCATATTTTATTAAAAATAATTTAAGGTATATTAATTTTGAGGAGAGGGTTGATATTGTTGGGGGACAAAGAAAATTTTGAAAAGAACCCTTGTGGCTGGCATGATATTGGACCAGATTATGTAGAGGGGAAATGGTGGAAGGTTATGAATCAGCCTAGAGGACATTCACAAAAGCCAAAATTGGGGAACCACTGATTTTTAATCTTTACATGACATAAGTTAGCACAAACTTAGAAGGACAATGTTAACTGGTTATCCCAAGAGAACAAAGGACAGATTGGTTGGCCTTAGGATGCTGGAAAAGCCACTCTTTTTACAAAGTTTGAGTTATCAATTCAATTTTTTTTAGCATTTCTATAAAATAAGCGACGGGCCCACTCCACACATCACCCTACAACAAGCACATAAAATAAGAGAAATTTTTATTTTAAGTACTTAAATTATCATTCGGTATATGGAGAATTATTTTTTAAAATAAGTACATCCTATAATATCATATATACGTTAAATAATCATTTGAATATTTATATAAAGTGTTATCAATAAGAATTGTACATTAAATAAACAGAGTGAAAAACATAGGTGCATAAGTGTGTTGCTGCTTATGCATAGTTGTGATATTTATATGGATCAAGTTGAGCTGAAAACCAAAATAAAAAAATGGATTACTTCATGCTTGAGGAGGAATAATCTAAAGCAATTTTTAGTTCTTTTGATGAAGTATAATATATTCCTTGCATAATTCGGTCAAGCTCCCAACCTTGATGCTGTTAATTCGAAAGCATCCCAGTTCCCAACTCCACAAAATTAAGACAAATTATGACCGACCAAAAGTTTGTTTGGTAAGAAATGCAAGAGGTTGAGGAAGCTTTCGTGGTGCCGCACCACTAGGGAGCCTAGTGGTGTTGGGTGTGTTTAGGGTGTATTAGGTATGCGGTTCGATTCCCTGTAATGTCCAACAAAAAAAGCTTTCGTGGTGCCTAAAATCATTTGCCTAAAAAAGATACTTTTGAAACCTCTCTTATTGTTTTCCTTTGCATCAGATGCTAATCAAAAGTGATTTCAAAAGAAGGAGCGATAATGCACAAAAAAACAAATGCACTTTTATATCACTTTTCCTTACAATATCGTTTACATCTTTTATATTTATGCTTCCTTCGCTAACAACTTATTATTCTCTACATAATTTTGTATTCTTAAAATGGATCTCTTATTTCATTTTTTTATTATTACACAATAACAAATTATTATAGAGGTATATTTAACCCAAAATAATAATAATAAAAGTGGCCTCCCTAATATCATTATTCGCTGCACTAATTTTTGGCATTTAGCCATAATTTCTCTTCTATGGGTATTTTTGGAAGTTATTCAACCACTTTCATACTTTTATTGGGTTGGAAACTACGTACTCCAATGTTTCTTCTCATAAGTTCGCAAAGAAACACAGGTTCTTTATATTGGACATGTTACTTAACTCGAGTGCAAACGCGATGGGACGACTGAACGAGGCATGTTACTTCTCTCATGTGAAGATTAAAGTTAAATTAATAAAAAATGGCAATAATAGTTCGGCATGGATTACCAATACCGAACACCTATTAGTTAAAATGTTACAGGAATTAAATAAGATAGGTTTAAATTTTATAAATAAAAAAATAAATATTAAAAAAATTAAGTTTTACTCGACTTAACTTTAAATTAGATAACGCTTGAAGTTTTTTTTTTTAGAATTTCAGTACTACTATCTAAACGAAAAAGAATAAGAATGAATAAAAATTAAGTAAATTAGAAGGGTCAAAGACGTGATGCTTATAAAGAGAGCTGTTTTTTTTTATACCTACTTTATTTTTTTATTTTTTTTGGTGAATGTATACCTATTTTATTTATTTCTTCGAGATGAATGGATTCTCGTATATTTTACAAGTTTTAATTTTTTGAGCCGATTATCTGACTAAACTCCATTTAAAGCTTAATTACAATTATTTTTTTTCGTCATTTCCCAAAATATATTTAATGAAAATCGAATTCAAATTCTCTTTCCAGCTACTTAATCTATTAATCTATGTTGCCAATTAAATTACACTGCTTTTATATCCAAGAATTTGGATTGGAATCTTTTATGGATGGAAACAGATTTAGAAATCAAATTTAAATAATTTAATAATATACTATACAGATATTATTTTATAATAATTTTAATAATTTACTGTACATTATTTTATAATAATTTTCAATAATTAATTTTTCAACTAATTACTATAACATCCTCTTTTTTAAAGTCTAAAATTATTGCTAGTAGAAACGCAAAGCCTTCGTCGTCCACGAATAATTTTTCAATAATATTATAATATTTGATAAAGTATTTGACGCAGTAATATTAAAATTATATATTTTAAAAGTATATAATTATAATATTAAAATTATATTTTTTTTTCAAAAATTTATCGATATATCACGTTTTTCCGGATGCAATGTACATATAGGAGAGTACTCAAAATTTATTCGTCGTCCACCGTGTCAGAGGAGACTGATCCACAGCCACCGGGAAATACCGGTCATTCCTGTGCTGTTAATTTTGTCAACGGAACTGGAAGTAGCCAGTTCAGGAAGAGCGTGCGTTTTATTCTTCTCATGACGTTAGCAATTAGCAAGTGCCGTTAACGCTTTTTTAAAATAAATTTAAATGAAATTAGTCATGGTTACAAAAATAAAAAATAAAAAAAAATAACAATAACCAGATAAAGACATTGGATAAATAAATATATATGTGATCGACAGAGATTCTCAGATGGAAGGGTCTTCGCTTGAGAAATATTCCGGTGCATCCGATATCATCGTGTTTTGATCTCCAGGGCTTTTTGACCATTTTGGTCAAAAGAAAAAAAAATCTCAGAGGTGAGAAATTAGAATGTTATAAACTTGAAATGTGTTAAGGGTCAGATGAAGCCATGTGTCAGCATCGTGTTCATCGTTTAAAATCTAAAGTTGGTGAACAGTGACATTTTGATCACTGTTTTATTTTTATCTGACATTATTCTATTTAAATGTACTTTTTAAAAAAAAAATAAACCCTTACCTTTATTATTTTTTAAGAGAAAAATGTTTTTTTTTTGGTAAATTGAAAATGTTTTTCATTTAAAAGAATGTACCTTTGTATCCTTTTCGGTGAAACTAGAGTATTTTAGTATATGTTTAGGGTGTGTTTGGTACTAGACTTTTTTTGTAGTTTCTTTGGAAAGCATCATAGGAAAAATAACAATATTATGTTTGGTATGAAAAAACACTAAACTTTTCCAGATAACTTTTTTTCCTGGAAATAGCTTTTGTGTGTAATTTTATGTACCATTCGTATAAGTGCAAGGCTAAAGATTGGGTGGAATTTTTTGTTGCTGGAAGCAAAAAGTGACCCATTAAGGAATAGACCACTTTACCCTTTGGTTTGTAGGATTATTACCCTTTGAGTGGTGTTTGGTTGGGAGCTTTTTAGCGGATATATATCTTTCTCAAGTATGGCTTTTAGAAATACCATGTTTGTTTCAACGTTTTTCACCAAAAATCCATCTATCCAATTTGTCTGGATTTATGAGAAACATGGATATCCGCACTGTTTAGAAATCCAATTTGAAGGTGGGATTTTTCGAAAAACCGGTTATATGGCTTTTAATGCACTGTTGATTTCATAAAGTTACCTAATTTTCCCAGTAAAGTTTTTCTCCACCAAACAATTTTTTTTTTACATTTTTCTACCTATCTCACGTTATCTATCTTTCCAATTATTTCTCTATCTATCTCATTTTCCTACTATTCCAAAAAAATTTCCTGAACCAAACGCTCCCTTAGTTTGTACAATTTTTGAATATATGGGGTAAGGTACAGACCTTTTTGAATCAAAGTAAAACTGAGATTATTTTCATAAAATAATCTCACATTTCCTCTGATATTTCATAACAACCAAACATAAACTTAGTAAAATTAACCATATTTTTTCAGAAAAATATGGATTTTCCAAACAGCTTTTTAATAACATTTCAGTAAAATATATTTTCAACTACATCCCGGTAATAATTATTTCCTGGATAAAAAAAATTTCTCCTGTACCAAATCCTCCCTTAATGGATTTTAATGCTTTTCTACGGGAAAAGTATTTTTCAGT